ATGAGACTATGAGGCTGTCCCTCTTCTGCACCACCTCGTGATTGTAGTTAATAATGATAGCTGAAAACGACATGAGACTATGAGGCTGTCCCTCTTCTGCACCACCTCGTGATTGTAGTTAATAATGCTAGCTGAAAACGACATGAGACTATGAGGTTGTCCCTCTTCTGCAGGATCCCACAACTGGGAAACAATATAATTTACAGTCCTTCTATTTTCTGATCCCAGCAACGATATAAACATTCGCTGGTTTTAATGAAAATATTATACTTATACTTTCATTGTACGCACAGTCCTTTTTTAAATTATTGTGTTCTGATATACAAATATAAATTTATATTTTTACAGACATAAAATACAGTTTTTATCTCATTTGTTAAGCAGTCTTGCCGATGTCAATGAACGAAATTGTCTTGTTTCTAGTAAGAATAGTAATTCCAATAGATAGGATATTTTGAACCCTTAATTGCTGAGGTGACTCTTTAGTAGTTGAGCTACACAAAATATAAAGTGTTTAGAGATATATTATTCAGAAGTTTAAAAGGGAAGATAAAATTGGGAAGGCCCAAGGTTTATTTGACCGAGGGAAAGTGCACCACAGGCGCATTCATTATGTCCGTAGTCCAGTGCTCGCCTTAGGGTTTTGGAAGCTCTGGATTAAATGTTATCTATTCTCCTGTTTTTCCCGAGAGTAATTTTCCTAATTTTAACACATCAGATTGAAAAGTGGGAGGGGGGCGAGCTCCCCACATCCTATGCCACTAATATTGTATTAAAACTTTCCTACTATAACCTATAGGAATACAAAAAAATCTCAATAATGTTACAAACTATGAACAATAGTTATTACCAGAATGACCTCCGAGTAACTGAGAGTTATCATTGGTAACTAAACTCTGTAATCCTTGTTTTTTTTGGTACATTGTTTACAACAGGGAGCTACTCAAGAAACGCTAACAGATGGACAAGTCTTGTCCCTGGGGAGTCTGTTGTTGTCACTCCATCCTTCTGAGATCTCTCGAATCCCACCGGAAACCCTGGAAACGGCATTAAATACTTTGAAGATGAGTGGCTATGGTGATGAACTCTGTTTCGACTTGGAAATGAGTGATTCGATTCGGAAACAATTACAAAAAGTACACGGGTTAGTATAACCTGAACTGGCGTTGTCTCCTTTTTATGCATAGATTTCCTGCTACTAGTAAGGTTATTCAGGACCACTTAGGTTATATATCCTTTTTTAAAACTGTGTAATCGCACAGCCATCTCACTACTGTGTTTTGTTAGTAATGTACGTATCTTTAATTCTGTGGTGTAAAAGAGTTAAAGAGTATATGTTGATAAATAGTAAAAATATCAAGCTGGTATTAAGTGAGTTTTAACTAACGTGCTTCATTTCTTTAATTATTTTAAATGCAAATATACTAATTATAATTAACCATAACTCATATTTGTAAAAACAGATTTGCTAGATTTTAATTAAGAATTTTTCTTTTGACACTCTTGCTTTTAAGGAAGGTTTAACCGGTCTGTTAACGTTTATATCTCCATCTTTTCTTCTGTTTTCATTGCTAGAAACAAGATATATACATTTACAACTTAACTTGGGTTTTTGTTTCTAAGTTTGTGTTAATATTTAGTAAGGTTTAACCGGTCTGTTAACGTTTATATCTCCATCTTTTCCTCTGTTTTCGTTGCTAGAAACAAGATATATACATTTACAACTTAACTTGGGTTTTTGTTTCTAAGTTTGTGTTAATATTTAGTAAGGTTTAACCGGTCTGTTAACGTTTATATCTCCATCTGTTCTTCTGTTTTCATTGCTAGAAACAAGATATATACATTTACAACTTAACTTGGGTTTTTGTTTCTAAGTTTGTGTTAATATTTAGTAAGGTTTAAC